ACATGTGTTCAAAGCCAAGACTCGAGTCGCCTTTGGTTTTTTCAGCCGAAGGGAGCTTTTTCTTCCGATTAAGCTTCATCAACTTTGCGGTAACGGGCGGCGGAGCTTTATTCGAAGTCGAGGTGGTCATTGTGACTGAAGGATCATGTGTAATCCCACTCCATGATGCCATTGGTTCGTATGATGCTCAAAAGAGTGAACGGCCCAACGCCGTCGAGGCCATCAAAAGCTGCGGAGACCACAAAGGTTGTATAGATAGCTCTTAAGTAAGGGTATGGTCTCCCAATCTGTAGACAAAATCGTCTTCCAATTTGTGTGAAGGACCAAGCGACACGACAAGTTCAGTGAGCTTTGTGCGAACAGTACAGTTTTCCCTCTATGGGAACATCTTCAGTCTAATCCATCAGGAGGGTGCTCTACGGGGATATCCCGCCAACTCGAAGGTCTTGATTATGACGTGGTAAGAAAGTCTTCAAGCTCTACGAAAGGCTGAGTGCTTGGCGTAATGGCTGTAGAGAATGCCCATGGAAGCACACCCTAGGTTAGATCTGGATCTCAATCACCCACCAAGGGCAGAGGCTCCACCATTAGTGGCTGGGCCCATCAGGATCCCGATCAAGCGGGGGGGCAAAATCCCAATCTCCAGAATCCACGGATGGGAGGCCATGAGCCGCAACCACTTGACCCTATTAATGAAAGGGATCCGAAAACGATCTGGTTGATCTTAGTAGAAAAAGATGCACAGGAAATACGAGAGATCGAGGACTTGATTTATCACGAGGTAAATCACTTAATAGAGGAGCAAGTACGGTATCGCCGGTTGAACATGGAAGATTTCCCATCCACTCCTGATGTGGTCTCTGCAATCATTGGAGAACTATCCTGGAAGAAACCGACCATAAAAAAAAAATGCAGGTTTTTGAGAAAGCTACTCAAAGATTTGCGTGCAGATGGGGGACCCCTATAAGTATCAAGCCATAAACGTGATTAAGAGGCCGTATTAATCTCAATGATAAGTCTTTGAGTACCTCACCCGAACCACCTGTCGCAGAAGGGGGGCCCGCATCCGAACAGGAGGAAGAAACCTCGTCAATTGGTCACGCACCTAATCATACATCCTTTCACTCAACTCCAGACCTTGGGTCCTGAATAGACCAAGGAGGGTTGTGCTGTAGAAGCCGGCTTACCGAGGAATAGAAAGGGAGGACCCGAGGTCGGAGCAAGTTGGGTTGGGGTATAGAGCCGTAAGCTCGGTGGGGGGGGTGACGGAGGATGTGCTCGTATGGTTCACAGAGGACCGGGTGGGGCTATGATCTTCTCGTTGATTGTTGGGAACATGAACTCCTCTATATTCGAAATATGCCTCTCTAGGAGCATTACGATCTGCAGCTCAAATGGTCCCTTATGAAGTCTCTACTGGTCCTATTCTTATTGTGCCCCTTGTGAGAGCGCGTTTGGATTCACGAAGGCAATCGCTCGGATGTTCCCCTAACCCGACCTGAGAATGGACCAGAGGGAACCGCAGCATGGGGAATGTTTGCATCTTGTCGCAAGGCTCATTTGGAGTTGTGGTTCCTAGAGCGGGCTTCAGGCAGGCAGTCCGGGGCACAAGGGTCTTGGTACTATCCAGGTGCAAAGAAGCCTGGAGGTGGCTGCAATGAGCAGAAATGCCACTCACCGGCCTAAACGACGAGAAAACACTCGAACGTGAGAGCAAGGGATCACCCAATGAATGGACGAGCTCCAAGGAGGGAGGCAAGAACCATGCTTTCAGAGAAGTGGCGGTCCTCTTATATGAACTGCAAGAATAACTGACTAAGCCCTGCTGCCGTAAGGGGGGCACGAGACGGGGCCAAGAATGTATGGGTGACAAATCGGCCATAGGAGTACTCCGAGATATACACCAGGGCAACAAATGTCGAGCATACAACGATGCCACCCGTTTGAATTTCATGGAAGTGCCTGGCAGAGGAAAGGGTTGCAGGTGATGGCGCACCTATTCTACTTATCTAGAGAGGGGCACAGCGCATAAATCATTCCTATTTATGGGGTCGTGCGTGGTGGGCATTTGGGAAAGTCGAGCCACTTGAATGGGACCTATTCTCTAAATAGGCGGCAAAGCTGAATAGGAAGGGGGTCAAGCTGACTGATGAGTGCCTTTTTAGTCAATAGAAAAAGGGTCTCATGTGGAGCTAATATGGCTGGCTACAAGTCTTGCCTTTTCAAGATGAGACGGGGTCAGGCCACAATGGAACTACCAGAGGAAAGCCCACCCCTACTAGCTAACATTGATATATATTAGCATTAGTCTCTATTAAAAAATCTTACCGACCAGGCCGAATCGGGCCACCGAGCAGCCCACATGCATCATTTGATGAAAGCACTCCAATCCAGCCGCCCCCTCGAAATGTCTTGTCAACCACCGGACCGTAGCTCCTCACCAACCAAATGCCCTTGGGTGGGGGCAACACTGCATATGAGTAGTTCGCTCCAGGACCCCACCCCCCAAGAGCTGGATGCCGGCCGAGATGGAGCTAGCTATACTTTCCTTGGGTTTGCCTTGCCTCAACATCTACATAAGGGGGAGCCGGGCACCGAAAAGGAACCAGCCCAGCCTCTTCAAGAAAGCTTTGCTTGATAGGCGCTGCCCGAACAATGCCCTGAACACTTTCGTCTTCAGTTCCGCCCCCTTCTCCCATGCTGAGTCACTGGCAGCGCCTCGGAAAACAAGCATGGACGAGCCACATGCAGGGAAACTTGCACGTGTGGTCTTGATCGGGGACCCCGGTATACTGTACTAACACGTGTAGGTTCCCGTAATTCAAGTGAGAATGCCATGGCGCAAAAGCAGATATGGTCCGGTATTCCCTTGTTCCCCGTATTGGTCATGTTCCTCATTCCTCGTCTAGCAGAAACTAATTGAGCTCCATCTGATCTCCTAGAAGCGGAAGCTGAATCAGTTGCTGGCTATAATGTAGAACATGCACGGGATGCGATCCTTAATGGTTCACTGTTGGCGAAAGCCAATGTCCCGGGGTCCGAGGGACTAATTCTGACTGAAACAAGGGGTAGGTCTTTACCAACTTCAAAATCTTGGATCTTAGAAAAGAAAAAAGAGGGGCTGGGCACTCTTCATTCTTCATTCGAAACTAATGAATGTCGGGTCAGGGCTTTCTGCCTTATTATCAAAAAGGGGAGTGGGGTAAAGCTTTGTTCCTCCTTGGACGATCACTTCGGACGTAGAACCGGGTTGCGCTGCTTGATGCTCTAAAAAAAAAAGAACATATATGTTTTATTTTTATCTTCCCGAAAAACTAAAGGACAAAAAATAATATCATCAAAAAAATAAAAGGAAAAAAGTAATATAAAGGAAGAAAATAATGTCATGAAAAAAAAAAAAAGAGGAAGAAAATAATGTCATAAACAAAAGAAAAAAAAAGTTTTATTTTTAACTTCCAAAAAAAATAAAAGGAAAAAAATAATATCATCAAAAAAATTAAAATAAAAAATAATACAACAAGCATTTCTTGTCAAAAAAACATTTTATCTTCTAAAAAAAATAAAAGGAAGAAAATAATGTCATCAAATAAATAAAAGGAAAAAATAAAATAAAAGATAATACAATAATTCCATATTTTAGTGGCATTTTTTTCATCGATTTAATCCATTCTTTATTGTAGTCCATGTATGATTATATATTTTATCCATGATGATTCTATGATTTCATAGTGTTAACATTTTCCTTTTGTCAAATATCATAAAAAAAAGCAGTTTTTATTTTGTTAAATAATGTAAAAAAAAAAAAATGTGTTTTACTTTTGTCTTAAATAAATGTCATAAAAAATAATATAAAGGGAAAAAATAATGTCATAAAAAAAAATTAAAGAGGGAGAAAATGATGTCATAAAAAAAAAGAAAAAAATGTTTTATTTTTATCTTCCCAAAAACTAAAAGGAAAAAATAATATCATCAAAAAAATAAAAGGAAAAAAATAATATAAAGAAAGAAAATAATATCATGAAAAAAATAAAGAGGAAGTAAATAATGTCATAAAAAAGGGGAAATTTTTTTTTTTTTTTTATCGTCCAAAAAAAATAAAAGGAAAAAAATAATATCATCAAAAAAATAAAAAAATAAAAATTAAAATAAGAGATAATACAACAAGCATTTCTTGTCAAAAAACAATTTATCTTCTAAAAAAAAATAAAAAGAAGAAAATAATGTCATAAAAAAAATAAAAAGAAATAATAAAATAATTCGAAATTTTAGGGGCCTTTTTTTCATCGATTTAATCCATTCTTTATTATAATCCATGTATAATTATATATTTTATCCATGATGATTCTATGATTTTTCTTTTATGTAATACAAATTTAATGATTAACATAAGTTCAAACAGAAAAGAACATCTCAATATTCGCAAATTGATTAAAAAAAATGAAATAATAATGTAGTACCCCTATTTCTTATTGGATTCCTAAAAAACAATATTTATAATGAATTTTAATTATTTTTTTGGATTTTTTTTAAAGCTTAATTGGACCGATTTCCGATTCGGATCGCCGATTCACCGATCCAAATGGGTTTTTGGGGAGACCGATCCAGGACAACGATCCATTTTTTAAAACATTGGTAAGAATAAATAATTTTTATAGCGTATACATCAGTATGTCGATATTCTAAGATACACCACCTTAATTTTAGAATTTCCTAGTCTAGAAATTTTGACCGTATGCCCCTATAAATTCAAAAATTACATTAACGATAACTTGTTCAAAATTTAAAAGAAAAGGGCATTTTTATCATTTTAAATCACTTCTTTAAATTCAATGATAATCCAAAAAGCGAAAAGAATCTTTTAAAATTGAAATTGACTTTTGGAGTAGTTTTTAACTGAAAATTACATAGGAAATTCTAAGTTCACTCTAATATTAGAGTAGTGTATCGAAAAATAACCCTATCTATATAAACTATCTATATAAAACATTAACGCGCTCAAATGAATAAAACCAATTCATCATAACATGACAAAATCTTTTACAAGAATACATTTTCCTCTCTAGGAAACAGTACTTCAATCCAAATTGGATATATACAGAGTCGGGCTTAGCCATTATGCACTATCGGGCCAAAGGAAAATTGCAGGTACCCATGAAATTGGTTGAAGAACCGCTAATTATCCCAATAGTTCCTCAACTGTGACATATGCAACAAAAGTTCATCCCTTCCTAAGCCTGTGAAGCTGCTGGTCATGATCCATGGTGGAGGCTCCCGATAAGATTTCTTGATAAACTCCTGAAAATCTTTGATGTTCTCATCAGGCCGCTTCCCTTTACCTGACTTCTTCTTATCACATTTCGTGAATACGTAAGTCAATGGGATCTGTACGAAAAAGAAACTCTCTTAGACATCACAAGAATGTCAACTAATTTGACATTTAGTATGTCAGTTTTGTGAACAGTACGCCTTCCCCTTATTTAAACAGTAGAGTGTAGAAAACGATATGGGTCCAATACATGTCCAGCTTAGACACCCAAAATAGTAATCAAATAAACAACAAAATGGAAAGAAGGAAAAGTCCTGCAAGTTGTTAAATTACTATCCTTCATCATGCTGATGGATGGCCGGGCAGAGGGATAAAAAAGCTGTCATGCCCAATCCCAAACGAGAACAAGGTTAAAAATGAAAGCATAAAAAGTTAATTTTGAGAGTTATTGTACATTATTGCGTCCGAGCCAATTAGCACAGTCCAGATCAATCTTTTGAGGAGGAATACTGGCATCAACAAGAAGCAAGACTGCAACAAGAGTTTCCCTGTTGAGAAAGTAGCCCTTGGTGAAGGATGACCAGTCCATTCGAGCAGCTTCGGGTGCATTTGCAAACCTGTGTCCAGAAATGGCTTCACATCAAGACATGGAAAATTTAAAATGATTTCTCGAAAGTAGTGAGACCTTACTTTCAGAAAAACAGGAACTAATTTCATGCATTAATTCATTATGAAATTCCCAATAATGCACAACCATGTTTATCATATTTGATAGAACATTCCCCTCAGTAGAAACACATGATGGTTTGATACCCTGAACAGAACTGGATTAAAGTTTTTATATAAAATACTTATTCTCAGTCCATAGACCTTATCACTCTGTCAGGTTCTTGTTCAACTAGCAATGCCTTTACATTCTCAAATGAAAAGAAAGAAATACATCATTGTTTCAAGTTCAGGGCTTTCAGAACATTATCGCAAGGATATCAAGGCGCTTCTCACGTACGTCAATTCCTAAAATATGCACTACATGATGCTCAAGAAGCTACTAGTGAGGTTTCTGAGTTCATAATTATTGTGTCAATATGATTCACAAGAATCATCCAACAAAAAGGAACCAATATAAAGCCTTGGGTTCCAAAATTTGCTAATTGACAGACTCCTCTGGATTAGTGAGAAAAGATATGAGGACTTATAGCGTCACTGAAGTTATGGGCCCTGATAGAGGAGAATGGCAGACCAAGATATTCAACTCTAAAACTCCTGAATGTGTAGGGCTTTAGTGTATTACTATAAGCTCCCACCTTTATTTTATAGTTTAATATAAGTTTTTGCTCCTGATCCAACGTTATATGTAGCCAACCCCAAATAGTTGGGATAAGGCTCAGATGATAATGATGCTGATGATATAAGCTTTTAGTTGCATCACATTTTCATGGAAGAGCCATAGTTTTAGAAGTTTAAATTGAATAAGTAACTTGCAGTAAGAGCATGACCCATTCTCCGAGGGTCGACGTGGTTCAAAACCTGAAGGTAGGAAGATGTGCTTGTGGATACTCTACTTTTAAATGACATTGTTTCTTTACAAGATATACATTGAGAGAATGACATCTCTCCCTCCAAAAACTTGACCTCTTTTGAAGAAGGCCTCGCTCGTTCTCAGCTATTCTGGCTGATGTCCAGAGTAGTAGGAGGGTGTTGGAAACCTATGCCGAACTAAGGCCTATTTGCTTTCATTTCAACAAAGAGGACAACGGTGCATATTTACATTACAATAAGTATATATTTGAACATGTGTATGATGTTGTACATTTAATATATATGCACCAAAACATCACAACCGCATGAGCAAGCAGCAACTCATCAAGTTACATGCATATGTCCATATATATGTGCGCTAGATATAGAGGTAAAATAATATGTGCAAGGTACAACAAAGGAAAGAAGCAAGACCCACCCGTAACCAGGCAAATCCACAATGTACCAACTTTTGTTGATCAGAAAGTGATTTATAAGTTGAGTCTTCCCTGCAAAATAATTAAATACTAAATAAGAAAATCTGAACATTCCTGAAGCAAGGCCAATGTAATAGGCATAGAATACCCCGATTAAATAATTGCATTCTCCAAAAATCACAAGTACAATTAATATGATTGGCATTCCATAATTACGAATTATCATTATGGAGAGAGAATCCAAAAATCTGAAAAGAGGTGACCTGTATTTGACTTAAGAAAATTCAAAACATAAGGTTGGACCAGAGTCCTGGAAAAGTTTGTCTAACTTAGAATACGAGCTGATAAGACAAAAGCTGTAATGGCACAATAATATCCATGTTCGAGTGCGTGTATATCACTGATGTTGTCTTCCACACATTTCTGACCCATGTTTAGACACAAAATATAAGCAGAAGGAAATGATTAACAACTCGCTTACCACTTCTATCTAAAATTTTAGATAAAGGAAATTAAGACATGTTATCAGAAATGAAGCCTATTTATGGATAATCAACAAATCAGTTCCAAATACCCTCTGCTTCAGAGACAATGAATGAAAAATCATTATGTGGTAAGCAGCATAGCAACATATTATCCCTAATTTCGTTTCTACTGAACCAAAAGAAAGTAGTTGAATTTGCCCAAAACTCCAGGAAAAAAAATAAAAAACACAATTGAGGTACAGATGAAATGGAGTTTATGGATAACTGCTTCAATTTCCACTGTAATGATTCATGGCCACTTCGGAGCTATATCAGTAAGTTCAGAACAGTGCTGAAAGGACCAGAACTGAACAATCGGTCAACTTACTGGACATGGAACAAGGCCTAGAATCAGTCCCTTATTCCCTTCACCCATTAAAGCTCGAATTCTTAGAAACCAGTTAAAGCTAGAGGTCAACCTGTTGGATCGATCTAATTGTATTCAGGAGAATCACAAGTTTTAAACCAATTTCTCAATTCCTTTTGGGCAGGTAGATGCCTTCTTTTTTTTCTTTTTCTTTTTGTTATTGTCAATCAATTTTTAACGGCTCAATAATTTGGTTAATGGGAAAAGCATATGGGTAAATAGTGAAAAAAATGGGTGGAATTACAGACACAAAAGGAAAGACAAATACCACATGAAATGGTTAGGGAAACTCTACCAAAAAGACACAGAATAATCACACGCTTACTGACCCGGTTTCTTGGAAGTTAGGGCAACTTCCTTCTTTCGAACTAGGGCATTGATGAGAGATGATTTCCCGACATTCGATCGACCAAGAATCGCAAACTCGGGTAAACCATCTTTGGGGCAATCACGAGGCCTGCTACTGCTCTTCACAAAATCCACCTGCTTTATCTGAGCGTCACCGGCATAAGGCCCAATCACTATATTCGAACCAGGAAGAACCATTTCCTCCGAAACGTTGTCTGTCTCTACTCCAGGTGGAACAAAGAGAGCTCTTTTCACGAAGTTTAGGGTTTCTTTCGAGGGTTTTGGAGGTGAGGATGCAGAGCTTGAAGAGGAGGAAGAGGAAGAGATTGAGGTTGAGGAGGCTTGGATTGAGAAGAGTCGCCATCTGCTAGAGAGACAGAGGGAGGAGGAGAGGTGGTGGTTCAATGGGGGAGGAGAGAAAAGCCACGAGAGGTGATGGGGTCTTGTGAAGGAGCATCGGAGTAGCATATCTGACGTTTTTCAGAGAGAGAGAGAGGTGGTTTCAGAGAGAGAGGTGGTTGATTATGTTCTACTGTCCTCACTGGTGTTACGACGAGCTTCTATCATACAAGGAGAAGACGCCGTATTGTGTTTGCTGCTTCTCATTTGGAAGAGGATGTGGTTTGTATAAGGCTGAGGCCCAAAAGAATCAAAGTAAGGTGCACCCTCAAATAATCTTGAATAATGTTGTTTTAGTAAAAAAAATATTTATGTTGGCCTAAAATTTTATTTGTATCTTTAATTATAAAATTTTAAACTTTAAAAATAGTGTAGATCAAGTACCTAGGTAGAAGTTTAGTCGAAACTAGTTTTGATGGGGCCTCTCGTTTGAACAAGGTTTCTATGAGCCCTAGGTCTCACATGTAAATGTGCGTCATCTCTTTTTGATCAATTTTTTCAATGGAATTTGGACCTAAGTTTTTAGATATATTTGGCCTCTAACTTGCAGATCATCAATATGTTTAAAAAAAAAAAAGTTAAAATCTAAAGGAAAATGGTTTGATAGGCTTCAGTCCTATCAAAAGAAGTAAACCCTCGCCTTATAACTCATCAAAAATTGCAATTCAAGCATTGAAAACCTTCATATCGATCATCTCGGCCTGAACATTATGGCCATGGAAAAAAATTAGAATTTCAGGCTGCAAAAGTTGTGTATATTATAGCAAATAATTTAGGCCGTCCATCTCTCCCTAAAAATAAGTGTGAGTTTCAAAATTATTTGTAGAGTTGAAAAATGATTTTAGAGCCATTATGGATATTTTTATGGGCAAAAGTGCTTTTCGAATGAGGATATGAGGTGAGGCTTTTTTTTGTTTTCATAGAGCCTAGGTCACCTAGAAACTTCATCCAAATCTAAACAGATACCTTTTTGGAGAAATTTTTGGAATAGTTACATTTTATTCTTTTAGGAGGACCACAACTTTACATCCATCTTACAGATACTACCTTCCATTCTCATTTATATTGTAACATATAGAAATGCGTTCCCCAACTCATATACTACCTTCCATTCTTATTTATATTGTAATATATTATTTAGATTGTCTATTTTCAAGTGTTCATGAATCTATAAGATCTGTACTATTTTTTGAAAAATAGTAGAAACAGATTTTAGAGCCATCTTAAGGATTTCACATGCATGGAAATGTTTTCTGGACAATATTTAAAAAATGCGGATTTACCTTTTTTATAAGGTTTAGGCCTTAGAAAAGGTATCCACATTCAGTGGTTTATGTCACGACATCTACATTCGGTGGTTTACTATTATATCTGTGGTGCATTTCAAATATCCGTTGAAAAATGTAGTTTCAACGATGAAAAGCCCTTCAATTAATCATCTGGAGCTCATGACATATATATTACACAAAAGAATTCTAATTTAAAAGTTAAATATATTAGTTAGATCATCTATTTTTAAGATTTTGAAGTGTTTATAGATTCACTTAATTTGTCTCATTTTTTGAGCTTTAAATTTCATAATTGGTGGAGAAATAGAGCTTTAGGTCATCATAGAGTTTTCGGCAGGGTTTGGAGGCATGCCGTTACTTTGATTTTTTAATGTGGGTGGCTTATATTCTCGTATTCTTTTAAACATACCCAGGGCATAATTCAAAAAGTTATTTTGCTTTTGAGTTTTCTCTTCTAGACCTAAATGAATCATCTCAAAATTGCATTATTCTTTACATAATATATGTAATTTATTTTTTCAATGATTGCTAGGAGGTTATATGGCAACATGAGATCCTAAAAATATTAAAAAAATAGAGCTCTTCCCCGAATGAGCATAATATTTCAACAAACTGATATTAAAAGTTCAAAACCTATAGAGAGAAAACCGATATTTTCCCACATGTATGTACGTTAATATCAAAAGTTCCGTACTAATTTCATCTTTAGGGGCTTGTTTGTTTGGCAGTTTCGGCTTTCGAAGCCGAACCTTTCAAACATTTTGGCTCCATGGGGCCGCATGAAGGGTGGACTCCATTTCTTTCGCCCTTTTAGAGACTGATATCTCATGATTCAAGATTTTTCGATAGTAAATGTATTGGAGAGAGAGAGAAAGGGAGATGAGAAAGAAGAGAGAATTTTAAGAGGGAGAAAGAGAGCCCCAAAATGTAAGATAGACTAGAAAAATGGCAATAGTGACTTGCAAAGGCACCCATCCAATGATTGGAGAAATAAAAATAAGAAAAAGTTTGATACAAGGTATCAACCTTATAATAATATATAATTGAGGCGAACCTCAATAACTCATTTAGAAAGGTAGTTTGGCATTGGAAAACTCATCATTTCCAACGATGTTGGATATAAAGAAGAAAATATTTCAGGTCTTAAAAATATTGTATTTTGTAACAAATTATTTGAATAGTCTATTTTCAAATATATATAAATATCCTCGATTCGTTTTGAGAGCCAAATGTAACAATAGGAGTGAGAACATGTTTTTAGGCTATTGTAACAGATTTCAGCACTAAAAGTGCATCTTAAATGTGAACGCTTTATATAATTGCACCTACTACAAGAACAATAATGAACCCATAGATTTTTAAATATGTGCTAGAAAAAAAGTCTATAACATCTAATAAAAATCTTTGAGTCTAAAAATTGTCATAATTTTAAAAAATCTATGGACATTTAAGAAGATATTAATTAACACTATAAATTTACCAACATCCCATTATAAATTTAGAATTATTTTACTCATGCAACTCCTAAAAAAGATATATTTAAGTTAAGGAAAAAGTTTGTATAGGACCGAGGCTTTAAACAATCAAATTAGAGTCCACCTCAAAAATTTCACTAGAAGAGGTTGTTTTGATGCTCAAATATTCTCAAATTGATCATCTTGACATCAAGATGCATGGACATGAGAAAAAAAAATGGATTTGAAGTTTTGGAAATAGTACATTTTGTAATGCATTTTTGGACTGTTAGTTTTTAAGATTTTCAAGTTTTCATAGATCTGCTTGATTTACACTTAATTTGAAGCTTTAAATTTTATAATTAAGGAAAAAGTTTACGTAAGGATGAAACCTTATAATGTAGAACTACGGATGCACCTAAAAAAATCCATCGAAAAAAGCAGTTTTAATGTTAGGTACCCTATACATACATGGGCATTTTGATTATTTAACTCATCTAAGACGCCCCAACTAATAACCGGAGCATCAAAATAGTTATAAAATTACCTTTTTAATTTCATTTTACTCAAGGAACTCCTAAAAAAAATCTCCATTAGTACCCATATTGCCCCCTTTCAAGGTTGAATACCAACAAGCATGAGCATTTCAATAATTCGACCGACATAAAACTCCAGAAAAAACTTCAAATTTTCAAAACCCAAATATATTTTTTTTAGATTTTTGGTGTGTATTAACAAAACAAACTTTGGATTTTCAAAATCCAAATAAATTTTTATGGATTTTTGGATGTGCATCAACAAAACAAACTTTGGATTTTCAAAATCCAAATAAATTTTTATGGATTTTTGGATGTGCATCAACAAAACAAACTTTAGATTTTGAAAATAAAGCCAAAAGACTCCAAAAAAAACTTTGAGTTTTCAAAACCCAAATTTTTTTTTTTTTGATGCACACAAAAAAAACTAGACTTTTTTTTGTTGATAAAACAAACTCTAAGAAAAACTTTGGATCATCAAAATCCAAAGTTTTGTTCTCTATATTTTTTATCGTGCGTGAATAGAAAAAACTTTGGATATTCAAAATCCAAAGTATTTTTCACTCTTAAATGTATCGAAGGCAAGGGTTCGGCATTGTTAAACTTGGAATCTTCAAAATTTGAGATATGGGCAATCTCATCAATTTTTTTTAAAAATCAATATGCATTAATTGCAATGTTTACAAAATCGAACCGAAACGGTTAATTAGATATGGGCCCAGAAGCAATTTAACTGGCCTAATTGGTAAATTGGTTAATTCAACCATTCTAATTGGATAAGTCACAAGGGGTAAAAAAGTGCTGAAAACATAAAGAGTACAAAAAAAAAAATCTACTAAAGTATGAGAAGCACATTAAGAATGATGAAAACAAAATGCATTACAATGAAGTTGAAAATTAATGAAAAACATGGATTTTATCGAATCGATTTGTGCCTAGGAGTATTTTTAATTTTTTTTAAAAAGATGAGAAAAAAATAAAAGCGAATATTAGTGACCAAAACAAATTTTAATTTTTACCATAATGTAAAGAATATTAAAAAATGCACTACAAACTAAATTCTTTATTTTTGAGAATTTATATAATTTTTTATTTATTTTTTAAACACCAGTCTATCATTAAAACCGCCCAAAACTGAAACCATCTAACGTGGCGGTTAGTGATTGGATTGCCCGATTTTTCCAATAATGATGAACTAACATTTGATTTGAAAGGATACACACATAAATTACTCTAATAACTATGCATATTTATTACAAATATCCATTGCTTTTTTCAAAAATTTGAAAATACCTAAATTTTTCTAAATCTACATCCATACCCATTTTTCCACCCTTCACTTTTATTTTCCAAAATACCCTTCCTGTATCATGGTTTTAATATAGCCGTGATACATTATGGCCCTCTTGCTCTCTTTCATTTTTAGGAAGCACTGTGGTGGTACTTTGTATATCACGGTACTTACTTCATCTAATGGTGTGATGCTACGCAATGCATCACATGGTGCTTTAAGCACCACCACTATTTGTGTTGTGATTCATAATCACAACACTAACAATGCTAACCCTGGTGATCAAAGTGTAGGTAAATGGTCTAAAATATTTTTAATTATATTTATTTAAATATTGATTAAATATTATTTGAATGGTAATATTATTCCGATCAAGTTCACATAGACCTGAATAGTATTTGGGCCCAATATTTGATCATAGATCCAACTTGCGGGATCCAATTTTTGGACCCATACTCGGACCTTTGTTAGCTCCAGTCGTCGTCAGGTCCCAGGTCGAGTCCAATCATTGAGTCTCGAGTTGCCTATCAAGGGGCTTTTGGAAACGATTAGTGTGAAAAAATAAGCATGGATGTCGCTTTAAAACAGTTTAAATATTTTATAATTTATGAAAAAATAAGATATAAGTGCAATAATTACCCACTAATTAATAACTTAATATTCGATGCGGTCTCCACATCGCCACGAAACAAACAAAATGCAAAGGAACATTTATCAGATCCCTCTTCTTCTCCTCCCCCACTGAGAAACGGAGAGAGGGTTTTTAGAGAGAGAAAGGAGAGAGAGAGAGAGAGAGAGAGCAGATCCTCTTCAAGAGAGAACAACAGAGAGAGCCTTCAGATCCCATTTCCTTTCTGATTTTATCGGTCCAGAGAGGGAGAGAGAGATGTCATGGTTTGCAAGGTCTCTGGCCTCCCCTTTCATGGACGACCCACAATCCTCAGAAGAAGGAACGATAGACTCCTCCTCTCCTCCATCAAAGGGCGTCAAAGAAGATCTCTCTCAACTCACCAAAACCTTCACTCGCCAGCTTCGTGGTGTTGCCTCCTTTCTCGCTCCTCCTCCTCAAACCACAACCACTTCTTCTTCATCGGAGGGCCCTACTCAAAACCCTAACCCTAATCCAAACCCTGATTCTGGCTCTGATTCATCTAACCTTAGCGCTGATACAAATCCTAACCCCAATTCTCCTAGGCTTGGTGGGATCAGGAACGATCTCTTTGAGATTGGGGGAAGTTTCAAGGCTGGGTTTTCTCGACTATCGAGCAATAAGGCGGTGACTGAGATCTCACGATTTGCATCGAATCTGTTACCTCTTGGTGATGATGAAGATGAAGAGGATGTTGATGCCAATGGTGGTGATGAGAAAGCTAGGGAAGCAGTGGGGATTACAGAGGAGGTGTTGGCTTTTGCAAGGAATATATCAATGCATCCTGAGACATGGCTCGACTTTCCTCTCTTTGCTGATGATGAAGATTCTGATGGTAATTCTCTCTCGTTTCAAATAATTATTTCCAGTTATGGTTATTGTTTCTTTAATACACGAAACTATGACTTACAGCAACTAATGAAAAGATAATCCAGTGCTTGTGCCAAAAAAAGATTGGATGTAGCTTTCCTGTCTTTCTTGCGTCGTCATGTCTCACAGAATAATTTATGTCCAAATTTTATGAGACATCAACCATTTTTTGATGTCTCCAAATAGCATTAGTTTTAATAATCTGCAGTAAATGGAGACCCTTTGAAATCTTTATTATGAGAAGAACCATTGGCACCTGTGAATTTTGAAGGCACATTCAAACCAAGTTAGCTTGTAAGGCTGTGTTTCTCTGTTCTTAAGGTCACTTTCAGTTTCTTACACTGGGTAACTCTTGTTTTGGCAGATTTTGACATGTCTGATGCCCAACAGGAGCATGCTTTGGCTGTTGAACGTCTAGCTCCAAGGTTGGCAGCTCTCAGGATTGAGCTTTGCCCTAGTCATATGAGCGAAGGCTGCTTTTGGAAGATATACTTTGTTCTGCTGCATTCTAGGCTCAATAAGCATGATGCTGATCTCTTGTCAACGCCTCAGGTTTGTGCCTCAATTCCTTAGTCATTGTAATACCTATTTCCATGCATCATGTAGGATGTAATAATAGGTCTTCAATTGAGCATTGTGTATTTCCAACTCCTCATATGTTTGCAGAATAGTGATTGGTTGTCTTTTGGAGGCATTTCACAACAATGTTGTTAAGACCGGACCTGTGACCGAACTGCTGAGGGCAGCTATTTGGTCAAAGTGGTTGAATTGAACCAGTTCACCAGTCAAACAGATCAAATAAATAGAAATTATTTGAAACAAAATTGAATATTTGTAAAATTCCTAAAATTCGATTATTTTATTTCAAATTTCCTAACTTTTTTTCAATCTAAAACCAATAAACCAAAGAATTATTCCAAAGTACTTACTTAGGGTTAGTAAACTTCTGATATAGTGGCTGGAACAAACTTGGAAAGTTGCCGATTGATCACCAAAGCTAGGGTTTTTTTTGGATAGAGAGAAGGTTGGCAGAAATCTAATCTCTCTCAGAAGAAGATGTTTTATCCCTGAAGACCCACCCAAATGTTTGTGCCAAACCCTTAACAAACTCAAAAGGATGAAAGGCCCCATTAAAATTGGTTAAAATTATGAAAAAAAATGAAACGGGGTTGGTTTCTGTCATTTTTAGGACCCTATTTGGACAGGCTTATTTGGTGTTGTATTGTGGTGGATTGGTCTCTCTAGACATTGGACTGGCCAGTCCAGCACTAGTCTAGTGGACTGGCCGATCTAGGCTAGAAAAGCCACTAGTTTTCCGGTTTCTAGTTCGAACTGTCTGGGCTGGTCCAATCTTATATGGTTAGATTCCCTTTCAAGAAACTTTTATTTGTAAGTTTTTTGATAGGTAACCAAGTTTGGTAAATGGAGATTATCGAGGTAAACCTATTTTATAACAATAGGATTTAATTACATGCACTTTTTATTCAAAGTTAGAACACCCATTTTGGGGACCCAAACAGTTTGTAACACCGTTTATAGTCAATTAGTAGTTAATATAAAAGAAAATGAATATTGGCTTCATGCATATTTTTAATAGATATCAGTTTCATGGTTGTGCTTTATAGGAAAGAATATTGGGCGGTCAAGAAACAAGATACCCATAGGATGAGTGTAGCTGAGATGAGGATGTTGAGATGGATGAGTAGCAAGACAAGAAAGGATAGAATTAGGAATAAATACATACGAGGGAACTTAGGTGTGGCTTCAATAAGATGAGGGAACCTAGATTTAGGTGGGCTGACCATGTGAAGCATAGACCTAATACAACACCGGTTAGGAGGTGCAATTTGGTTCAAGTGGAAGGCTCTAAAAGGGCAAGGGGAAGGCCCAAAAGGACATGGATGAAGCGGTGATAAAATATTTGATGACTTTTGTTCTTATTGTGGGTATGGCTCTTGGTAGAGAAGAATGGAGGAACATGATTCATGTGACTTTTGTTCTTATTGAGGGTATACCCCAAATAATTGGGAGAAGGCTTGAATGTTGACGATGATGATGATGATCAATATCTTAGTTATAACAAATGCCTTTTAATCCTGGGCCTACATGTAAATCTTTTATTGTCCATGGCTTATAAATCTTTTGTTGGACCTGAAAATATCCTTCTTTTCTCTGTCTTCTCGATCGCCCCTTTTCCATGTAAATTTCGCCCTCCATCTATACTTCCCCCGACCTCATCTCCCTAGTTTCCCTTCTCAGACTACTTCTTTGGGGCTATTTCCACTCAGTTATGGGTCACTTCATTCCAATCGTACAACCTCGATCTCCTTTGAGACACTACGGAAGTCTTTTCGGCCCCCTTTTTTTTAAATGAAACGTCTTTTTGGCTTCCTTTTTTCATAATGAAACATGTCTAGGAGTCTGTCCTCCTGTTCTTGTACAATGATAATGCTTCCAAATCCCAAGCCCCATAGGAATGTCTCACTATTTGCGTGTTGTATTTCCCAAATGCTCCACGAGAATAATAACGCTATTATAACAATCCCAGGGTAGGTTGTAGATGTAGAACCACAATTGCTCTCCAGCTAGGATGCCTCTCACTTCCCTGCTTCATCCTTTGACCTTTTGAAGTATACAATTTCTTTTCACGATATTTTTTCTTTATAACCAGTTGATCCCTATGGATTTTTCTCGTGTCGAAATTTTTGAGAGATCCTTCATCAGCCCAATTTCAACAGATACGCAACTCGTCTTCTTTTTAACCAAATTGGTGCTTAGAAAAGGAGAAAATTGGTCGAAAGTTGTGGAATTTCTAATGGGCATCTTTTGTAAGGTTCAAAGTTTAACATTTTTTTTTTTTTTTGAGGGAAGTTAACTAACATTAAATAACAAGTGAGTTACATCAATACTGTGAGGTTCACATAGCATGGACCTCGGTAAAAACGTGGTCCCTGAGAGGAGGACCACAAAAAACTTGCTCTATGAAAATAAGAAAAAGGATTAGTAGGAGAGAGAAGTGTAGGGCTTATGGGAATGCCCTATTACAAAAACGAAAAAGGATTGCATGGTAGGGGCTTATAATTTTAGCCATTTGCACACTACTTCCATTTAGTTCTGTTGCCGAGCTGCTTCTTTAGTGAGTGCGTCTGCCATTGCGTTTGCGGTCCTTTGAGTGTGCTTCCAAGACACTTCCAAGCCCCTGCATAAGTGGTCGATCTCATAAAAAATATGAGCCAAATACCAAGGTGGGTCAATTTTCCCCGATCCCCACGTGATAATGTTTTTGGCATCTCCTTCAATCTCAAGAAATCTACCCCAGTAACTGTTATATTTCTTGAGTCCAATTAGGAGGGCTTTGGCCCCTCTGCCATCTGCGAGTCCTTTGTTCCTATGTATTCAGAGTAGGTTAGAAGGACTCCTCGTTCATGATTTTGATACACACCCCCAATGCCTGCCGGACCTGGGTTTCCCAATGAGCATCCGTCAAAGTTGAGCTTTATATAGCCCTTTGAAGGAGGAGTCCATCGAGGGATACTTTTAACTTGGTGATGACTAAGGTTAAGGAGGTTATCCCACTCTCTCAAGAAAGAAGAGGCCGAGATACCCACGAAGGGTTTGTGTTGGGAAACCCAAAAAATAACAGAGGACGTTTTTTTTTTTGAACAGGGTCTTGAACAGGGTCTGGAATGTTTTCTTTTCCCCTCGAAAGATCCTAGAGTTTCTTTCCCCCCATATGTGCCAGAGGGTAGCTGCTACTGCGGCTTTCTAGAGTATTTTCCCAGATTTCCTCCAACTTTCCTCGTAGGAAAGGGCTAGCAAAACAGGGACAGAAGGTGGAAGAACCCATGAGAGTCTAAATAACTGAATCAGTAGACTCCAAATAGAGGATTCAAAGTCACAGTGTAGTAACAGGTTTGTTACAATTTCTTATTCTTTAAGGCACATTATGCATCTGTTAGGAAATTGAAAACCTCCCTTCTGGAGGTTGTCTATGGTAAACGGCTTACCTTGAGCCGCTAACCACTGAAAAAACTGTGCCTTGGGGGTGCGATAGAATTCCACACTCTATTGAGGAAGGGACTATGTCTGGCACTTCTGTCAATACCGAGTAAAAGGAGGCTATTGTGAACCTCCTTGAGGGGGATGGGGTCCAAATCAGGGAATCCATCCCCGATTGCGATAAGAAAATTCCATGGAGTTCAGTGCTGAGGGTAGCAAATTGAGGGACTTTGTCATCGGAAAGGGACCTTCTAAAAGATGGGTTCCAAGTCCTGCAATTGCCAGTGAGAGTCCACTCCTCCGCAATCAGCTAGTCTTTACGGTTGGATATGGCAAAAAGAGAGGGGAATCTGTCTTTGATGGTGATAAGACTAACCACAAATCCTCCCAGAATCGCACTCTATTACCTCCTCTTGCATGAAATCAAATGTTTGTTCTGAATTGAGGGCGGGGATACCAGAGTTTTCCAAATTCCCGATCCTGAGGGGTAGGAATTTGTCTCTGGCATCTTTTGTACTTGCTGATCCTTCATTTCTGCCCTTTTCTGCCCTACTGTTCTTTATTTTCTTTAGATCAAACAAGCTTGCAGTCATATCTCTCTACGAGGAACCCTATTGACTCATTTGATATCTGATTGCCTTAACTCCGGCTCCCTTGTTTCTTTCCGGCGTCCTAGGTACCATGTCTCCATGAAAGGTACTTTTATCCTTTGAGACTCTTTTGTAACTTTCTTTTTCTTGAGGAGGCACCATTCATTCCTCAAATCCTTTTTGACGAAGATTCCTCAAATCCTCTAGTCTAGAATTCATGAGCCTGGTTCATTGGTGGAGGGTAGCAAGGGTATCAAGGGGAAGACAAGGATAGCACTGAAAATCACTAAAATTCAGCATGTAGGGGAGCACCACGCTTGAGAAGAATCTTGATTCTAAGGTTTTGACACTCAGAGAATTTCTTTCTGCTCCTTTGTCCACCTCCTGTCTCCATTCTTGCTTTAAACCATCAGGCTTTTTTCCTAGCGCAGCTTCCTTGTCCTCACATGTTTGGATATGACACATGGTCCAATGGGTTATTGAGTCAACCCTACCTCTCAGCCTTGACAAATTACTAAAGGTCATTTTTTTTAATTATCTCCTCTATAATCTGAAATTTGCAGCTTGAAAATTGAAGATGTGGATGATTATCTCCCACCCAGAAAATGGATATCCTTAAGACCGCATTGTGTGATTAATGCAGGACTACTATTCTTCTTTAATCATATGTTAAGTATTAGAAACAAGGGGGAAAAAAAAGTAGGGTGCAGCTGAAAGAAGGGAGCTTTAGTAGGGGGAAGCTGAAAGAAAGGAGGTTGGAAGAAAATTCTAGAAAATCAGGGCTAAAATAAAAGATTCATTCATTTATTATATGACATCTTTTCTTTGCAACTTTGCTTGGAGAAAAGGTTTGAACTGGCTTGCAAGTTGGCATCTAAAAAGTTGATAAGCAATATCTATTTCAACATGTTTGTATGTTCTGGAGTTATGCATTGTGAAGCACAATAATCCGAGTTTTTGCAT